TTAGCAGGGGCTTGCCAGGTATTTCCTGGGGTTTTCCATCCGGGCTTTAATGCGGCTAGAGACGGATCCAACGAATAGCTAAGGTTCGTTGACGATCCCTGGCTACAGCTAGCTCATTTCAAGAAAGCAAACAAGTGCCCGTAAGGCGTTCCTCTAGTAAGGCACCATCACCAGCGCACATGAGAAAAGGCCGTTGTTGCATAGCTCAGGTCGGAGCAACGCGCCATCGGACAGCAAGGGCAGTGATTGGCGAATCTATAGTTTCTGGTTCCTCTCTTTCTCGTCCGGGGTAGACGGGTCTACCAGCTACAATCATTTTCTACTCCTGCGTTCACTTTTTCTACTCACGGTGCCGTTCATGCCGTTCTTCTTCACACCGAAAGAAACCCCTTGACACCGAAAGGAATCTCTTCAAACCGCTCATCTTCACACCAAAAAATGCACAGCAAGCAGTTTAACATCCTCTGCGTTCATCTCTTCAAACACAGTAAGTTTTATGTATCACTTTTTGCATTGTTCTCATCTCTCTCATTCTCTGCCATTGATTTCAGCATTGGAGATTCACTTGAATCTTATGGTTGAGCTCTTTGTGATGATTGATTTTGAGTTTGAATATATTGAATTGATGTTAGGTTTTCAAAATCTCCTTTTCTGCTACTAATCGTTCCGCAAGGGTCTTCATCGCACAAGATTCAATGTCATCAAGATTGGAATCAGCAAGTCACAAACTCGTCATCACAAAGGAGGTAATGAAATCTCATATTTTGATTCTTTCACTCTCAAATGAAAATAATTTTGGGTATTTGAATCACCACTATGACTTCATCACCGTGTTTGATCTCGGGGGTGTTTTGATGTTTCTCACTAATATGCAAGTTAAAGTCTTCGATCATCCTACTGTTTAGATCACAATTTTTGATCCCGTCGGAGCTTTGACATTAGATGATGGAGCTTTAGATCAGTGATGGCGATGGTGTTATTGTAGAGGCTAACGGTGGTGTCTTTTTCCATTAGTGTCAAGGTGTTTGTGAAAATGCATAGTTGAATATTGGAGTCCAGTAGCACGTTGACGCTGGTGTCTTTTGCCATTGGTGTCAAGGTGTTTGTTAAAATTCCTAGTTGAAGATTTGAGTCCCGTAACATCAGTATGTTCAAGAAGGGAATGAGTAGAGAGGATGTTATTGTAAGGATCAACAACAGAGGTTGAAACTTGAGGGGAAAGATAAAAAATGAATATAGGCTTGGATTTCTCGCCATAATCGACTAAAAGATGTTTCGGCAGAAGGGAACCAAGACCAAAACCAGTGCCTCCGCCTATAATATTGAAAACCAGAAAGCCTTGGAGACCAGTATAATTATTTACAAACTTTCTGATACGGCCCACTTTCTACTCCTGCGTTCACTTTTTCTACTCACGGTGCCGTTCATGCCGTTCTTCTTCACACCGAAAGAAACCCCTTGACACCAAAAGGAATCTCTTCAAACCGCTCATCTTCACACCAAAAAACGCACAACAAGCAGTTTAACATCCTCTGCATTCATCTCTTCAAACACAGTAAGTTTTATGTATCACTTTTTGCATTGTTCTCATCTCTCTCATTCTCTGCCATTGATTTCAGCATTGGAGATTCACTTGAATCTTATGGTTGAGCTCTTTGTGATGATTGATTTTGAGTTTGAATATATTGAATTGATGTTAGATTTTCTAATTTGTTGTTTTAGGGTTTTCATTTTCTGACATCTTTTGATCACTATCCTCAGTAGCAGCAACAACTTCAGAGGGATTTTGTTCATCTGTCTTGGCGGCACCATTATTTCCATTGGCTTGTTCATCAGTGCTATTCTTTTCTGAAGGAACTTCCTCAGAAATATATATATAGTTTAATATGGCAATGGTAAGTAACCCATATTTTCTTTTGATAATTGTATTCTATACTCTTTTAGAATAGTACTAAAATGATGCTCATCAAGTGTTTGTTGTAATGCTCAACTCAAGGTATGGCTGAGTTTATAGAATTCTGATATGCTATGCTATATAGTGCCTAGTGGGTGTTGTAAAAGGACTTTATAACCATTTAAGCATCATATTATGTTGCAGAGTGTGATTCTGACCAAAGCATGTTTATTTGAGTGACTTGTGTTGCTTCTGTCATATTTGCTAGCAACAAAGGTTTTACTTTTTGAAATTGAATTAGATTCCTTTGTTTGGGAATTCAATTCTTATTCTTATTTTAGATTTTGGGGTTCTTAAACCTTGGTTGGGTTGCAGGACTTCTACCATTTCATCCTGATTTGCTAGGTTTGGTTCAGCATTTCCTTCTACTTTTCTTGGTATGTTTTCTTAACTCTCTTGCATTTTCAACGTTATTAGTATTGTTTAACAAGTAATTCTATGATTAACTAGAGAACATATATGTTGTTCTTTGCCTTTGTATCATGATATTTTCACTTCTGTAACAAGTAGTACTACTATTTTGTAGCAAATGCTATGATGATTATTAATACAGAGTGTCTGCCAAAGTTGAAATCTAAGATAAATCTAGTAAGACTTTCTGATTATAATATTTTATTGGCAAATGTTAGAATCTAACTAATGGATCAAGTGAAATTATAAACCTCATGATTAGAATCTGTCCAAGGTTTCTCATATTAGCATTGCATGGTTTGTTTGAATCTCTTGATGAAAGATAACTGAGCTGGCTTTGTGTTGATTTCAATAGGCTTTGTGTTGATTTCTAACTCTCAAGTATCAATACTTCATTTCTTTCGTAATATAAACACTGACATAGCAGAGCTTTCATTCTTGTACAAGAAAGCATAAAGCTAATATAACTTAACTCAAGCTCATGAGAGCTTGTATAGAGTCACCCTCATAATATAAAACACCTGTAGTGTAATCAACTATAACTGTTTTAGCTTCCTTGTAACTAGCTGCTTGACAGCCGTCAGTCAGTTAACCACCCTTCACTCATTTCAATCAATTTTCACTTGAGAAATTCAACTAATAGCTCTAGCAATTCTACTGAATATTCATCTATGAGAAATCACAAAACTGTGATCTGAAAAAATTCAATAACATTCTACTTTAATACTTAACTAGACAAGAAATAGTCTTGGTGATTGTCATCTAAGAGAAGCAGAACATATATATTTTATATGTTGATAGGTGATTCTAGTTTGTCTTGCCGAAAAATCTAAAGTTACACTTGACAAATGAAATGACTCCCAAATAATGCAAAGCTAATCCCACACTCAGTATAGAATAACTATGTTTACTCTCCTGAAAATTTGGTATTAATATGCAACTAAAGAATTTAAACCCAAACTTTAAAAACTGTACTTTCAGGTATTTACTTGTACGTTGCTTCAAGAAATATCAGCGAATCATTGCTAGACTTTGTTAAAATCTCTTAGTCTTAACTACCTAGTTTCCATTTCCTCAATTCTTTTCTTTTCTATTGCTAACAAATATTTTACGTCGTTCTACGTGTGTCTGTTATGTCGAATAAGTAGGAACCCCCAAATAACTATGCCGTAGCTAATTACAGATTCTATTTGACAGATAATTTTAATACTTATAAATAATAATGTAGTTTGGCTTTGTAATATTGTTACTTATCAGTTCATAACTGCCTCTTTAAAAATTTAGTCTTGAAGAGCGAAGAACCTTTCCTTGAATGTGTTTATAAATAATAATGGATCTACATGTCTTATTTGTTGAAAATGATAAGCCTATTGAAAGATATAATTATAGAGACCGACTCGTAACTCTAAGAAACTCATGGACCACGTCGTCCATTGGATCGAGGGTGTGGCTTAATCGGTGTCATCAATTCAACAAAAACAATGTTGGAATATGAGTTGAATTTTTAGGCATGCATATCTATTTTTGTTCAACTAATATTCAAGTACCAGACCGCGTTGAAACACTTCAAATTTTCGTAAAATAAAACCATACATAGAGAAATAATACCTAGCAAACCTGAAGAGAAGATTTGAATGGTCACTGGTTCAATCTGGTTCAATCTGTAATACAAATGCTTTATTGTGAAGCTATTGGATTATATAACATGAATGATTTTATCTTCGAGTCAATGTTCTCAAGCTCAAATTGAAAACTTAACAAATTATTGTGTGAAACGTATCCTTATATGTTATTAACTAGTATGGGTCATAAAAATAACACAAAAAGTTGCAGTATGATCTTAAATTTATTTTAGTCTATGTACATTAAAAGATATGTATGTATCATCAATAGTTCAGCATGTCTTAATTGGCACTGCAGTATCGTTTCTGTATTTTTTCTTACCCCGTTTAACATGCATTCATACTATCACCAAACTCTACTTGAGAATTGTTATTTTCTCATGCGCAGGTTATCTCAATGCATTCATACAACCATTAACTTAATCATGCATCTCATATATTTCCTCCTGCATTTTTTACTTGCATAATAAATTGACATTAAGCATAATAAAAAAAATCAGTAGCAAGACCAAATAGAAACATGAACAACACAGTGCATCCGAGGTTTTGACATAGTTGATAGTAGATCTATGTATACTCAATGAGAAGTATCAATATTGCAATATTAAACAAAGTTCTTGTCTTAAAACTTATCAATATTTAGTAGAAGAATCACACAGGAACGTAAACAACACAATGCATATGATTAAAACAGACAGAACACTAGTGTAAAGGCAGAGGAAACTAAGTAATAAAACCAATAAAGACAATGTTCACATGATCTTATTTTACTAAATAATAAAAGCATTAAACATTCAAAATGCTACTAAGAACTATTGGTAGTTAAAATAATTTTCACAAATTCCTTCCTCAATTCAAGAGTATCCATAGTGAAAAAGCAATCCAGTAGATTATTGTCTTTGGTGATAAGCATGGCAGCCCTTACCACATCTATAGCTGACAGAACTTCAATTTCTTTTAAAATCCTATAATTTGCTGCTGCTGAAACAAGATAAGAAAACAGACTCGAATCGATGCAAATTATATTGAAAACGAAATCCTATAAGAAACCGAAAAGCATTAACGTACCGTATAGTGTAATAGGTAAACGTGTGAATGTTGAATATAATGAATAAAGTTGAATAGAGTAATTAATGCAACATATGTAAACTGGATGCTATTGATTTTGCATATCCACTACATGGAAACTCTGTTAATTTTCATTTCAAATGCATATATGTGATGTTTAATTGAATAGTACAGCCTTAGGGGTTCTTACCATCAATACCACTTTTTACTTTTCACCACAAACGCCACACAACTCGTTTGTTCTCCGATTGATCCAGACTACTGTGATGATATAATTGCATCATGTGATGGTCTCATTTGTTTAGCCAATAATTCTCATGTTGTTCTCTGGAACCCTTCCATTAGAAAACTAAAGAAACTACCCTCTTTAGAAATTCCACAAGATCATGGAACACTAACATATGCATTTGGTTACGATCCTTTCGTTAATAATTACAAGGTTGTTTCTGTGTTTTGCTATGATTTTGAATACATCTGCTGCCAACTACTAGGACATATTGATTTGTTTAGCTCTGATATTGCTGAGATTAGTTAGTTGTAAATTAATATATATATATATATCAATGCTGATTTTGGTTGCTGTAATGTATAGCTACTATGGCTTAAGGGGAGTTATAGTTATAGTTGTGTATGATATAGGGGTTTATATAGTGCTTGTGAGGTTTTACAGTATACCATGTGGCCTTTCCTTCATTCACACCATTGCCGGATTATCCATTCAAGCCACCAAAGGTAATTGAACCGTTACTTGTTTCTACGTTAGTTGCTTGTTTGTTTTGTCTGTTTTTATGATGTTTATAATTTATTGTGATTTGTTCGTTTGTTTGTTTTTCAAATGCTTCAAGGCAGATCTTGTCTATATGTACTCTGTAGCAAGATTGTTTCTTTTTTGTACGATTTGTTAATCCGACCATGACCATTTTTGTTGTTGTTTCTAGTGAGTGTGTTATTTTTGAATAAATGCAAACGCCAGGTTAAAGGAAGCCAAGCTTGTATTGCACATTAAATATGAATAGATATATTGCATATTTGCTCCCCTAAGAATATCGATTAGACTCCGCAATTCAAAATAAGTTTGCACCTTCACATTTTGGGCTTGTGCTGCTTGTGCCTCTTGCCCTCGAACACGCTTTTATATTTGTCTTTTGTTGTAGCATGTGGATATTTACTAGCTTTTGCTGTATTGGAAGGTAGAAAACATCACATGGTTATTAGTTCTGGTTGGTTATAAATCTGATTATTTATCACTAATTCACAAACTTCTATTGGCGTTGGAAAAACTAACAGAGAAGCTGTTAGATGACTTTTCATTTCAATTATATTTTGCCTTTCATTTTCTTCTTTCCTCATCAAATCGTATTGTTCTCTTTCATTTTCTTCTTTCCTCAACAGTTGACAGTTAGTTATCCAGTTTAATTTGTTCACAAGTTATAAATGTTGTTTTATTGCCTGTTAATCAATTTTGTAAATATCTTGTACCATGTATTTAGTTAAATAGTCTAAACATGCTAAAGTTATTTTAATACTGCAGGTTGCATTTAGGACTAAGGTATTCCACCCAAACATCAACAGCAATGGAAGCATCTGTCTTGACATTCTAAAAGAACAATGGAGCCCAGCATTGACCATTTCTAAGGTTTGATTTTACTTGTTATTCTTGATAATTGATGATTATGTATCAAGTTTTAGCTAAATGTGACACCTGGATTATGTTGTGTTGCCTTTTAGAATGATTTGCAAATGTGAAAAATATTGGACAAATGTGTTGTCACGTTTTGAGCTAATTTACTTGCATTTGCCAATATTGGACAAATACAAATTCTGACTATTAAATGTGTTCGCCTACTGAAATTTAGAATCACAAACTTTGCTAATTGTTTGGAAATTCAATTGAAGCATACAGTTTTATCAAGGAATGAGGCTTATTTTCACATATAAAATTTGTCTATCCATGACTTTTTGTACTCTTATCATTTCTATTGTTACTTACTGCTGTAATCTCATTGATGTTTTTATGTGTTTCATACTACTTGTGCTGGTTTTAAATTGTTTTTGGGAAATTTGAAAATCTAGAACAAAAAAAATGATATTTTTAAAACACAAGAATTGTAATTCTTTTTAGAAGATTTTTTTCGTAAGAGAAAAATTAGGTCACTAATATTTCAAGTGCAGAAGTGGCTAATATAAATATCTATTCATTCTGTTGACTAGAGATATAGTTTGTCATCTTCATATAAGCTGATTATACGATTCATAGAAATTTACTGCTGGAAATTGAATGTGTTATTTTTCTCCTTTTTTAATGAGCTTCGTTTGGAATGATGATGTTGTCTGCTGTTGATCTAAATCTCACAAAAAATAAACCTAACATTCACTATTTTAGGTCCTTTTGTCAATTTGCTCGTTGCTGACGGATCCAAATCCCGACGACCCTAAACCCTAAATCCTAAACCCTAAAAGGGACAAGGCGAGGACAAAGGAAATTGAACTCTTAATGCAAATGCAGAATTTTAGTGGAAGACAGGTATATTATTTTGACGCATTTAAAGTTAAATTTTATGAGTATTATTTTAAAGATTATTATTTTAATACCTTTTTTTAGGGATTGGAATCACCCGCTGATGGTAGACGTTCATCTGAGTCTAGCTACCGTATTGGAGATAATGGAACTTCAGGGGGGACAAATTAGACTTTGCTATGATCGAGATAATTAGATTGTGAACTTTCTCATGTATTTTTGGCATAATGATACTTATTATTATAAGATTAGGAATTGATATATTTTGGGTTTTTTGTACTACTTGACATGATTATGGAACTCGCATTTTACATGATTATGGAACACACGTTTTTTTGGATATTATAATGCTTATTTGATGTTAAATATTTTTTATTGAAATTATTTTTACTATATTACAAAGTGATAGAAAATAAAACAAAAAATAATACTATAAATAAATATATTAAAGAAGAAATAATTTAAAGAAAAAAATAACACAAAAAAAAACTATATTTAAAATTTTTTACATAGATAATAATTTAAATAAAAAATATATATAATAGAAAAATAAAAAAAAATCAAGACATAAACAAAAGTCACGGCGACAGTACCGAACCGTCGTAATCAACAAAAGTCATGACGGTATCGAACCGTCGCCAAAAACAATTTAATCAATTTCAAAAGATATTCACGACAGTATCGAACCGTCGCCATCAATAATTAAAAGAAACTCAAAAGATAGTCACGACGGTATCAACCCATCGTAAACTTGAACGACAGTTTTTGTAACCGTCGCGAAATAGGTTGGGGACACACACTTCTGCGACGGTAAAGCAACCGTCGTGGAAAGCAAATTGCGACGGTTTTAACCGTCGTAATCTACAAAAATACCTGTCGCAATCTGCCAATTTTCTTGTAGTGTTGAGAGATTTAAACTGAACCAAAAGAGGTCTTGAATATTTTTAACTAGGGAGAATCAGGATAAATCTTGGAGCGGCTTATCTGAACCAGAAGAAACGTCTACTAGAAAGAATCAAGATAAACTGTTGAGAGATTTAAATTGAACCAGTAGAGGTGTTGGGTAAGAATCATAATAAATCGTTGACCGATTTATCTAAACCAGAAATGACGTTTGCGGGAAAGAATCAGAATAAACTGTTGAGAGATTTAAACTGAACCAATAGAGGTCTTGAATATTCTTTAACTAGGAAGAATCAGGATAAATCTTGGAGCGACTTATCTGAACCAGAAGAAACGTCTACTAGAAAGAATCAGTATAAACCGTTGAGAGATTTAAACTGAACCCGTAGAGGTCTTGGGTAAGAATCAGAATAAATTGTTGAATGATTTATCTGAACCAGAAATGACGTTTGCAGGAAAGAATCAGAATAAACCATTGAGAGATTTAAACTGAACCGACAGGGATCTGGAGAAAAATCAGAATAAATCATTGAGAGATTTATCTGAACCAGAAAATAGGATCTGCTATATAGATGGTTGACTAACCCTTTCTTGGGAATTGATCTGTAATTGACTTAGAGAAAATTTGACGGTAATTTTCTGTGGATTGATCTTTCCTGAAAAGATGAAAGGTTAGTTGCACGCAATTCCATGATGTATGAAATGCATGGTATAATATTGTTTCTCAAAATAAATGAAATTGAAATGTATGCATATGTGTTGTCAATGCTATGACGTATGGATGTAATGTATGGACACATTAATTATTATGCCACAGTGTTGCTGGAATTTGGGGAAAATAAATCCTTGAGTACCGCTGGGAATGAGGAGTGTAAGTCTTCATATTTTGAAGTTGAAGTGTTGAAGGATGAGTCTCCATTTTCTTAGAAAAATAAACTCTATTGTGGAAGGGAAACGTCTTTCATTGCTCGTCGACTTCGTGAAAACCTGTTAGGGAATCCTGAGAAACTGGGTGACCTTCACTGGGGAATCTTTGGAGTGGTAACCGGAAGTTTTGTTCCATCGGGGATGTGAGAGAGCTTGATATCATTAAGCTGCACACTGTGGGGGATTTTATGGAATAATCTAAAGATGTTATCCTATTTCTTAAAGCCATTAGTGATTATCTTCTATTTTTTGCTCATTTGTAACAGTAGTTACGTTCAAATGCAAATGTTCAAAAATAAATCATTGGACATTTTTGTAAACAAAACACAGAAATAAAGAAAAACAGATAGTTTTTCACTTTCAAAGGAATGTCTTTGTATTAACTTGAATAAGTATTTTGTACAATGAGATGAACATCCTAGCAAGAGAATGCCGTTGTAAAAAATAGAAATTTGATACAAAGAAAAGATAGCTATGTGCAATAATCCCATGGGGTTCCCATTCTGCTATAGCCTTCGTGTCTCTGAGCGTCTTGTCCACTTGCTGCCTCGTTTGAAGTTTATTGGATTGATCAGAACGGTCGAGTTTGTCAATAGATGCTAAAGGTTGTCTGTAAGGTGACCCAACGAGACATAATCATACGCTTTAATTCCCTAACTTTTTCCTGGACCGACCTTTCGGGTTTTCAGTCCACCGGGATACCCTTTTTTGCCCAAGCCGCCCTTTCAAGTTTTCAGTTTGTCGGGTGTACAGTTTTTTTGTATTTTATCCATAATTTTTGCTCGAACCTTTGTGGTTCGCCGCGATGCCCTAGTTTTTCCTAGGTGTGTCAACCTAGCGGGTCTCTTATGCGTAGTATATTTTGACTATGTCTGTGTTCACAGGGTGTGGAAGGTCGTCGCCATCCATATTGGTTAGGATCATTGCTCCACCAGAGAATATACTTTTGATCACAAATGGTTCTTCGTATGTAGGAGTCCATTTTCCCCTAGGATCACCTTGCGGCAGTATGATACGCTTCATCACTAGATCCCTTACTTGATACACTTGGCGTCTGACCTTTTTGTTGAAAGCCTTGACCATTCGTTTTTGATACATTTGACCATGACTGACGGTAATAAGCCTTTTCTCATCAATCAAGTTCAGTTGATCAAGTCGAGTTTGGATCCAATCATCTTCGATCAGACCTGCATCCTTCATGATTCTCAGATAAGGTATCTGGACCTCAATTGGTAGAACAACTTCCATGCTGTATACCAAGGAGAAGGGAGTTTCCCCTGTTGATGTGTGCACCGTGGTACGGTAACCGTGGAGAGAGAATGGTAGCATCTCATGCCAGTCCTTGTAGGTTACTGTCATTTTTGTATGATCATTTTTATGTTCTTATTTGTTGCTTCTACATCGCCATTCATCTTCGGCCGGTAAGGAGATGAATTGTGGTGCTGGATTTTGAATTGCACGCATAGTGCGGTGATCATAGTATTGTTGAGATTCGTACCATTATCTATGATGATCCTCTCTGGGATACTGTACCGACAGATGAGATTTTGTTTGATGAAACGGGCCATAACATTTTTGGTAACGGAAGCGAAAGAAGCTGCCTCAACCCACTCTGTGAAGTAGTCAATGGCTACCAAGATGAAGTGGTTCCCATTAGAAGTGGTAGGTTTGATTTCTCCAATCATATCGATACCCTACATCGCGAATGGCCAAGGAGCAGTCAGGACATTCAAAGGAACTGGAAGTACATGCACTTTGTTAGCATAGATCTCACATTTGTGGCAGGTTCGCGAATGCTGATAGCAATCTTCCTCCATGGTAGACCAGTAATACCCTGCCCGCAGGATCTTTTTTGCCATCGTATGCCCACTGGAATGGGTGCCAAAACTACCCTCATGTAGATCAGCCATGATCTTTTCGGCCTCAACCTTGTCTATGCAACGAAGAAAAACAGAGTCGTGGTTGCGTTTATAAAGAATGTCATTACTGAGGAAGAAATTAGAAGAGAATCTTCTCAAGAACTTCTTATCATTGGATGAAGCTCCTTCGGATACTCTTGTGCCTCGAGATACCTCTTAACTTCATGGAACCAAGGTTGGTCCACTACTTCTTCAGTATCGATCTCGTGACAGTAAGTTGGTTCGTCCATCCTATCAATGGTGATCTGGGGAGCCTCGTTATCCTAATTGATTTTAAACATGGATGACATGGTGGCTAGCGCGTCCGCTAGTTGATTTTCCTCTCGTGGGAAATGTTCAAAGGTAATCTCCTCAAAATTCGGGATTAATGTAAACACATGTTCTTTGTAGGGGATGAGATTAGGGTGTTTTGTATCCCATTCTCCTTTGATTTGACTGATGACCAAGGCTGAATCTCGGAATACACTTAGAGACTTGATTTCCAAATCTATGGCAGCTTTGAGACCAAAAATGCACGCTTTGTATTCTTCCATGTTATTTGTACAATTGAAGAAAAGTCTTGTGGTGAAGGGAGTATGACATACTTTCGGGGATATGATTACAGCACCTATGCCATTGCCGAGTGCGTTAGACGCTCCATCAAAAACCAAGATCCATCGGGATCCTTGTTCAGGTCCGTCATATGGTTTGAGTTCTTCACAGTTGTTCACTATCATGATGTCTTCATCTGAGAATTTGAATTTCATGGACTGGTAGTCATCCACAACCTGATGAGCAAGATGATCGGCTAGCACACTCCCCTTTATTGCTTTTTGGGTAGTGTACTGAATGTCATATTCAGTCAGGATCATCTGCCATCTTGCTATTCTCCCAGAAAGGGCAGGCTTCTCGAATATGTATTTTATTGTATCCATCTTGGATATCAATAAGGTAGTATGGGTCAGCATATACTGTCTTAGCCGCCGAGAAGCCCATGCCAGAGCGCAACAAGTTTTCTCGAGCAGTGAATATCTTGTTTCACAGTCGGTAAACTTTTTTCTCAGGTAATAAATAGCATGTTATTTTCCTTCAGATTCGTCATGCTACCCCAGCACACACCCCAATGAATTTTCCAAAACAGTTAGATACATGATCAAAGGTCTTCCCTCGACTGAAGGCATCAAAATATGAGGCTCT